ATTTAAAAAAAAACTAATAAATAATCATAAATCAAAATACATTAAAATAAAATTACAGTACATCATCGCTCCTAGAAGGTCCACCATACTAGAAGATCCTTTCAAAGGTTCATAAATAAAGTCTTCTTGACTTGAAGTCGTTTCCTGCATCGTGATGAAGAGTACGCAGAAAACTAAGAAGAATCACAAGTTTTCAGCGGGGTGATGTCCAAACTACATGATCTGGTGCAGGGTGGGGAGACTGTTTTGTTTTTGATCCAAGTAAAGACAATAGAAATATGCTCGTCCCACTTCCTCAAGTCCTCAAAACCTGTAAAGAAATGACACCAAATGAAGCAGGTGGCTAGGAATCCTCCAAGACCCGGTTCTCTTCCGGACAATCAGGCGGACAAAGCGTGCACGGAAAGAAACCAGGTCTCTCACTCGCGTGCCCAGACACACAGTCAGGTGGCGCTGGGGCGCGCACCACTGGACAAGGGCGGTGAGGGTGGGCGCGGAGGCAATCTGAGAGGCCTCTCTGCCTGGCCCGAGTTTCTCCATCCTCCCCTCTCTGCCCGGGCTCTCCTGGCTCCAGTTTGCTTCTCTTCTTTCCACTTTCCCAGAAACTTGGGATGATTTCTCACTCCTGAGTGCCGAACCCGTGAAAAAGCTTCCTGCTCCTCCCAACACCCCCGTTACCCCCGGAGCCGGAGTTGCCGGGACCTTACCTCGTCTGGCCCGGATGCTGCCCCCTTCAGGCAGAGTTGGAGGTGCTGCGGAGAAGCCGGTGGCCGTGCGGCTGAGTGTGCGGTTGTTGGTGCGGGTGCGGTAGTTGGTGAGCGTGTGGATGCGGGTGCGGGTGCGGATGAGAGTGCGGATGTGGATGCGGATACGGGTGGAGCTGCTGGGGCTGAGGCTTGGGTTGGGGCTGGGGCTGAGGTTGGGGCTGGGGCTGGGGCTGGGGCTGCGGCTGGGACAGGGGCTGGGGCTGCGGCTGGGACAGGGGCTGGAGCTGCGGCTGCGGCTGCGGCTGCGGGGGCTGCTGCTGGACCAGGTGCTGCTGCTTCTGCCGCGTGGACTTGACTGCCAGGATGGCCTGACGATTCTTGTACTGCACCATCTGCAGCGTGATCTCGGCGTTCCAGCCCTGATCCTGTGGGCACCGAAAGTCGATCTCTTTGCCCTCAGCCATCACCACAGTGAAGTACATATACTTGCCCTTGCGCTCCACGCAGTCCACGGTCTTCATGTTGGAAAAGTGCAATTCCTTGAGCTTGACCGGTGGCTCAAGGCCGGCGACGGCGGGGCCGCCGGGTTGGGACGGCTCGACCGGTCCCTGCCCCGGCTGCTGCTGCTGCTGCTGCTGCTGCTGCTGCTGCTGCTGCTGGTGTTGCAGCTGCTTAGGCGGGATGAGCAGCAGCCCCTCCTCGGTGAGGATGCAGCACTTTTTCTTCCAGAGCTGCAGCAGCCCGTCGCTGCGCTTTTCCAGCACGCCCTCCTTCAGCGCCTTGCAGCCGCTGCTCTCCAACATCCTCCCAGCATAGAGGGGAGCGCCGCTTGGCTCGGCCTCAACGCTTCCAGACGCTCGGGCCGGGGGCAGCAGCAACAGCCGCGCGCCGTCCTCGCCCCAGCGGCTCCCACGGCCGCCTGCCCGGAGCGCGCAGAGTAGGCTAACCCGCAGGAGGCAGAGCGGCGGCGGCGGCTCCGGGTCCGGGCAGAGGGGCAGCCGCGTCCTGAGGCGCCGCCACAAGGTCCCGGAGCTGCGAGCCGCTGGGCCTCTGCCGTCCTCTTGCGAGCGCTCACCGAAGGGCACTGGCCGGGCCCCCTCGCGGCGCTTTTGAATGGGCCATCTTCCCCACCCCCGAGTGACACCCAGCGGAAAAGGCGGCTCCTGGCGCCCGAACCGCGGGGGAAAGCCCGGCTCCGAAAGGCTCTCGGCCGCCGGCGCACGCCTCATTAACTTGGGGCCTTTCCAAAGCCGGCTGCGTCCACGCCCCCCGCGTCCCTTGCTCCGCCTCTCGCCGCCCACTTGCTTCCGCGCTCCTTCCCCGGGACGGCGGCTGGAACCCGAGCCCCGGAAACTCCTCTCCTCCGCCCAGGGCGATCGCCGAGGAAGCCCCTGCGGCCCGGCGACGAATGCCGACGCCCAGAGGGCGCTGAGAGGCCATCCCCACCGTCCCGCCGCTCCCCGTCTGGCGGGGCTCTCCGCTAACAGTCTCGGAAAGTGAGGATGGGCTGCGAAGGCGGGCACAATTACCAGGCAGTGCCTGGAACGCAAGGCTGTCGCTCTGCCCTCGAGAACTAGCCCTACAGACTCGCGCTGGGCTCCGAGACCCCGCAGAACCGGTGTCCTGGCCTGGGCGAGCGGGGAGGCTGGGAAAGAGGCCGCCGAGCCGCGGAACTGTGCTCCTCCTGGACGCCTATGTCACCATCTCAGCGCACAAAGGTTGAGACGACATTCGTGTCTTCACACGCACATTCGCTCATGGCCATTAAATAGCTCTTCTTGGAGTAAAGAAAGTGATTGTTAAAGCAATGGCGCTATTGTCAGCTTGGAAGGAGTGGAGAAAGGTGGACCCACTTTAGGTGGCATCTTGCCTTCCTTTTCTTGACCCCGACTGCGGGTACTAGCCTATCTTCTCCATCCACAACAGCTCTCCAGCTTCCTTCTTGACCTGTCCGTACAGCCTGTAACATCTCTTAAAACAGTAACTCAACTACAAACTGGGAGAATGTCCGGTACTAAGAAATCCCACATTTCAAGACAGAATTCCAAACAGCTGGTCGGCCTCTGCTGGTCCCTCTTTGCAAACACCTAGCAGGATTTCTGTTTTGGAGTCTCATTTATCTGTGACCTGGGGAAGGTAATCCCTACTCACCCCCAGCTCCCTCCTACTCCTACATTTACACAATTTCTATAGAAGCTGCTTTATGGAAGGCAGAATAAAGAACATAAACTGAGACCTAGCCTCCTGGTAGGGAAAGTCACCCATTAGGTAAACGGGGAGCCCAACTATGTACCAACCCTGATGAGGATACGGAGAAGAATCAAACGAAGAAATAAACCAGGGATGGACAAGTCAGAGTTAGCCAAGGTAAGACGAAAGGAAGTGGCCAAAGTGGAAAGAAGAATTGTATGGCTAGAGCAAAGAATTCAAGAGGGGAAGAGAAAGTGAGAGATGAGCTTGGAGAGCAGAGCAAGAGTCAAATCCTTTGTGTGTTACATTAAGAAATTCAACCTTGGCCGGGCGCGGTGGCTCA